CGGAGCTGGGAGGGGGCGGGGAGTGGAGCGGGGCGGAGGGAGGACCGGAAGTCTGATGGGGGCTGATTTGGGGTTCCGCAGGCCTGCCAGGGCCCAGGAGTCTGACGGAGCTGGGGCCGGGCCTCTGGCGGTGCCCTCTTTTGTCCCTGTGTGTTTTGGAGTAGTGGGTGCAGGCCTGGGGGACGTTCTTCTGGCTTCGGAGAGTATTTTCTTTACGTCGTAGGGTAGGATTGCAGCAGGAATGCAGTTCAGGTTCAGACTGGAGACGGTTGAGGTCAACAGAGCTTTATGGGACATTCATTCAGTGCCTGATTACAGAGCCTAAGGCAACCGGAGATCTGCATATCAGCACGTCCAGCATTCATACCAGAAGCTGACATTCAGCAAGTACTTTTTTTTTTTTTATGAGTTGGAGTCTCACTCTCACCCAGACTGGAGTGCAGCGGCCACTCCCGGCCACGGCAGCCTCCACCTGCTGGGCTCCGGCGATCCTAACCCCTCAGCCTTCCAAGTAGCTGGAACTACAGGCGCGCGCTACCCCGCCCGGCTATCAGCAAGTACTTAACTGTGGGCTAGGTACTGTTCAGAGAGTGTTTCAGGAACTTCAGGCGACTGAACTCACTTGGTCCTCACCAGTGAGGTAGGTGTTTTTATCGTCCCCATTTTACAGAGGAGGAAACTGAGTCACAACAGAGGTTAAGTAAGCCCTGCAAGGTCATGGCGATAATACGTGACTTGGAGGTGATTTGCAACCTTTCTGTCTTGAGTCTGTGCTTTTTTTTTTTTTTTTGAGTTGGAGTCGCACTCTGTCGTCCAGAGGGCTCCAGCGATCCTCCCACCTCAGCCTTCCAAGTAGCTGGAACTACAGGCGTGCGCTACCACGCCCGGCTAATTTTTTGATTTATTGTAGAGATGAGGTCTCCCCAAGTTGCCCAGACGGGTTTTGAACCCGCGGGCTCAGGCAATCCACTCACCTCAGCCTCCCAAGGCGCGGGATTACAGGCTGAGCCACCGAGCCCGGCTGAGTCTGTGCTCTTAAGCCATAATGTGAAGGTTACGGGAGGTTCCTAGAGGTAATCTTGTCTAAGACAAGAGTTAAAATTTGAATTTAAAGGCCAATTGGCAAAGACTATCGTGGATAGAGAAGAGCAAATGTGAAAGAAAGAGGTGGCCGGGTGGGGTGGCTCACATCTATAATCCCAGCACTTTGGGAGGCCAAGGTGAGAGGATTGCCTGAGCCCACAGGTTCAAGACCAGCCTGGGCAACTTGGCAAGACCTCATCTTTACAATAAATCAAAAAATTAGCTGAATGCGGCGGCGCATGCCAGTAGTTCCAGCTGCTGGGAAGTCTGAGGCGCAAGGGTCACCTGAGCCCAGCAGATCGTGGCTGCGGTGGCTGCGAGCGTGCACTCTACCTGGGCGACAGAAGGAAACTCCAACTCAAAAAATAGAAAAGGAAAAAAAAGAAAAAAGAAAGAAGTAAGCTAAGTTTGGCTGAAGTGTGGAATTAGAGGGAGGGAATCAAGAATACTGACACTTATATATGCTTATGAGCTAGGGCTATACTAAGAGTCTTACAAACAGCGTGTCATTTAATTTTCACAAGAATCTTAGATGGGTAGTATTACCCCGTTTTCCCGAAGAGAAAATAGAGACCCTGGAGGGTAAAGTTACGTATGTGCTTAGGGTCACCAACTAGTAAGGGGAGAGCCCAACATTTTACTCCAGGAGATCTGGGTCCAGAATCCACTCTGTCCTTAACCAAATTGGAATGGAATAAGTGAATTTTTTTTTTTTTTTTTTAGTTGGAGTCTCACTCCGTCACCCAGGCTGGAGTGCAGTGGCATTCTCATGGCCACTCCAGCGTTGACCTGCTGGGCTCTGGCGATCCTTCCGCCTCAGCCTTCAACGTAGCCAGGACTACAGGCGTATGCTACAATGCCTGGATAATTTTTTATTTATTGTAGAGACAAGTTGCCTGGGTTGGTTTCGAACCTGCGGGCTCAGGCCTTGGGCTCAGTCCACTCACCTTGGCCTCCCAAAGTGCTAGGAGGCCACCAAGCCTGGCTGGAATCAGTGTTCTTTTAATCCACTTTAAACATTTATCTTTTATCAAAAGGACAATGGGAAATCATTGAAGGGACTAGGGACAAAGAGTGAAGTTGAGAGATATGTCCTAATCTGGTTGTGGACAACCAGCTATGGTCTGCCATACAATAGTGGGTGCAGGAATGAAAAAAAGATGGAATCAGGAGGATCTGGTGACTGACTGGTTGTGGGATGTTAGGAAGGTAGGAGGAACCAGTGGTGGCTGTTGCTCGGATACTACCTGAATGAATCCTGATACCCTTCCCAAGGTGGGGAGGACAGAAGGGCAGTGCGGTAGATGAGTCTGGGGGAGATGAGGAAGGCGCTGGATGGACTTTGGGACGCACTGAATTTGAGGTTCCTTTGGGTTGTTAACAAGAGAAGAGTCTAATTAGTAAACATCTGGCTTCACTGAGTGAAAGCAGGTCAGAAGGAAGGACTGAGCTAGATATCTGTGAGTCATCCCATATAATTAGTAATTAAAACTGTTGACTAAGAGTATACCGTGGTTGGAGGTCTTCAGGCATATCCCTGAGGTACACCTGTATTTCAAGGCTGGATGAAGGATGAGGAACTTTCAAAAGAAGACTCAAGGAGGTGTGGCTGGAGACAGAGGACAGAGTGGTGTCCTGGAAGCAGGGGAGAAGATGTGATTTAAGACTGGGGGGCATAATAGTGCAGAGGTCACAAGAAAGGGCAAGGAAAAAAAGGATTAGGTGGGATATAACCCGTAGATGAGTTTTATGTGGAATTTTTAGCCTCAACTAGACTAGTCAGTACAGAATCTGAGCGTGATTTCAGAGGGAAACTTGATAAGCTTGAATAACTGCATGAAGAAGAAGCCCAAATCAAAGATATCTCCTTGGTGGTGTTAAGAGGTAACTGGGAGATGTGCTACCTAGGAGGGAGAGGAGGAACTTGACTGAAGGTTGGGAGAGGCAGTCACAACTTTGGAATGGGAGGTGTTTGACAGACAATTGAAGACATTGGATCTGAGTTTGAGGGAAAAGACAGAAGTGATCATTGAAACCATAAAAATGGATGAGGATAAAGAGAAATGGAAGGATGACACTTTAAAGGTGGAAAGCCTTTGGTCATTCAGCCCAGACTTGGTGGTTTGGAGACTAGGCACCAGATTTGGAGGGAAACCAAAAGGCCAGTTAGATCGTTTAAGTCCCAACACCCAACTTTTAGGGTAGTTTGGGAATTCCTGAAAAGATCCGTACTTTCTGGGATAAAAAGGTAGAAACCTGCTTGTCAGGATTATCTGCATCATTAGGCAGGGAGACTGAGTGATCTCACTTTCTTCTCTTTGATCTCTGCTGGAGCATGTCAAATGAACACAGCCAAGCAGCCATTATTTCTGAAGCCCAGGTGGGGTTTGATGTTTGTGCTTTTCTTCTTAGGTATGAAGAAATTGATTTGGAAACTGGAATTTTGGAGTCCAGGAGGGACCCAGTCCCTTTGGAGGATGTGTATCCCATTCATATGATCTTAGAAAATAAGGATGGCATCCAGGGCTCGTGCCGCTACTTTAAGGAGAGGAAAAACATTACCAATGACATCAGGACCAAGTCTCTGCAGCCTCGCTGTACCATGGTGGAAGCCTTTGACAGGTAACTAATCAGAGTGCCTAAAGTCAGGGGTGTCTTCAGAGCACTTGGATCTGTCCTACAGCCTCGGGGTCTGCCAGAGTCCACTAGCCCTGTACTCAGCCAGTTCTGGGCCTTCCCTCTACTCCTGTTGGAACTGACTGAGATCAGGGGACCTGCCTTTTCCTTTCCTTTTCGTCCACAGTCGTTGCACTGTTGGGTATAGCCCCAGGCAGCTAACATTTGAATGGTGCCTCATGCTGTCCAACTATCTTTTTGTGAGTCCTCTGTCAGTGTCCCAGTTTCCCAGAGTGTCTGATCCAAATTGTCATTTTTCTCAAGTAGCTAATCTGATTCCCACCTCCCTTCCTGCTTTACAGGACAGTGTAAACTCTCTGAATGTCCATCTTCTTCCTCATCTTGTAGACTTTTCCATATTTCTGTCCCCTCTCCTCTCATCTCAGAGGAGATGAGAAATGGTGGCCCTGTGTAAGGTTGTAATCTGGATGCTTCTCTTCCTCTCCCCCACTCCCTCCAGCCATCTCCCATTCTTTCCTACTTCAGTCAGTGAACCCGTCTTTCTCCTTGATTGTCAACTTTTGCCTGCCTACTGGAGCTTTCTCCTGAGCACAATAACACAGCTCACCCACTTCACAGAATCTACCCTTGACCTCATGTGTCTTGTAACTGACTGTCTGTGTCTCTGCAGCCATGCTTCTTGGAAGAAGCAGCTGCAGTCAGTTTCTACTCATCGTCTTCCCTTCATTACTCTGCCCACTGCAGTCTTGATTCCTGACTTTATCACTTTGCTGCATTTTTTTCCCTCTAAGATCCCAATAAATAAGCCCTTGAACCCTATTATGCCCTTTCTCCTTGACCCTGTTATGCCATTAGTGACTTGTGAAGCTTTTGTCCCTGTGGTTTGCTACCTTACTCTGTTTTTCTGCTTTCCTTGCTGTCTGTCACCAGCTTATTTGTGAACTCTTCTACTTCCTTCCACACCTTAAATGTTGGCTGTTCCCAGGACTCTGTTCCCCAGACCTCCCTTGCAAGTCCTGTCTATATTATTTCAATAACCCACCCTTCAACCTCAGTGTGGTCATCACTCTCTTTCACCCCAAACCTGCCTTCTCTTCCTGTCTTAATCTATTTTGTGTTGCTGTAACAGAATACCTGAGCCTGGGTATTTATAAAGAAAAGAAGCTTATTTAGCTTACAGTTCTGCAGACAAGGAAGTTCAAGGGCATGGCACTGGCTTCTCACAAGACTTTCACACTGCATTGTAACATGGTGAAAGGTCAAAGGGAAGTGGACACATGTAAAGGAGCAAAACCCAAGAGTTGTCCTTGCTTTGTAACAATCCACTTCTATGGGAACTAATCCATTCCTGGAAGAATGAAGACTCGCTCTCACCAGACAGCATTAATCAAGAGGGATCAGTCCCCATGACCCAAACACCTGCCACTAGGCTCCACCTCCCAACACTGCCACACTGGCAGTTAAATTTCCACATGAGTTTTGGCAGGGACAAACCACATCCAAACCATAGTACTTTCTTTTCTCTCGTTTCCTTATCCTTTTTTTTTTTCTTTTGAATCAGGGTCTCACTCTGACACACAAACTGGAGTACAGTGGTATGTTCATGACTCACTGCAGCCTCGACCTCCTGGGCTCAGTTGGTCCTTCTGACTCAGCCTACTGAGTAGCTGGGACTTCAGGGATGTGCCATGACACCCAGCTAATTTTGGCATTTTTTGTAGAGTCAGGATCTTGCTATGTTGCCCAGGATGGTATTGAACTCCTGGGCTCAAGTGATCCTGCTGCCTTGGCCTCCCAAAGTGCTGGGATTCTCGGAGTGAACCATTACACCCAGCCAGTTTTAAGTGTACTTAGTGTCACTCTTTCCTTGGCAGACCACAAACTCCTTGAGGGCAGGGACTCCATCCATCTTGTTCACCATTATATCTCTCAGGCCTATATCTGCACAAAGTCAGCTCCTAGAAATACATGTTAACTGTTGGCTGTTGGGTTTGAAGTTGTAACCCCTGACCTGTCATAGAATCTGAGCTTCCCGGCATGCCATCACAAGGCCTTTCAGAATGTGGACCCCCACTGACCTTGAGCTTTCCTTCCTTCTGCTTGCTAGCTTGCCACCATGCTCAGATTTTGCAGCCATGCTGTACCACTTGCCTCTGAGAGCAAGCCTGCTTCTTCATGCCTCTGTTACCCCGCAGGTTCTGCTGCCTTGCTTGCCCTTTGCTGCCCATCCACCCAGTTTACCACTAACTCCAGAATCACTGCCTTGAGAGGTTTTCCCTGATTACTGTGCACACTCTGTTAACACACACAGGTTTGATTTGAGACTCCCCACCTATGCCATTTCATAGCCTCCACAACCAGAGTTCCTTTTTGTCAGAGAAGTTGCTGCCTCATAGTATAACTGTTCGTTTTAAGTTTTTCTATTTTTACTTATCTTGGTATCTGATACTTTGCACAGTTCTTTTTCTTTTTTTTTTTGAGTTGGAGTCTCACTGTCACCCAGACTGGAGTGCAGTGCAGTGGCCGTTCCCGGCCACCGCAGCCTCAACCTGCTGGGCTCCGGCAATCCTTCTGCCTCAGCCGTCCAAGTAACTGGAACTGCAGGTGCGCGCTACCACGCCCGGCTCATTTTGATTTATTGTAGAGATGAGGTCTCACCAAGTTGCCCAGGCGGGTCTTGAACCCGCGGACTCAGGCAATCCACTCACCTCAGCCTCCCAAAGGCGTGGGATTACAGGCTGAGCCACCGAGCCCGACTTTTTGCACAGTTCGTAGTCGGTATTTGATAACCTATAAGGTGACCACAGTCAGCAAATTGGAACTACCAGGAGTCATTGAATCAGCTGATTGGCAGTAATTAACAGAAACATTGGAATTATGGTGGTGATGGGTAGTAAACTAGTCTAAGTAATAGAATTTAAAAAGCAGCAAATCCACTCACCTGTTTTCAAACTTGTTATCTCAACTGACCTCTTATAATTTAACTGAATGAGTCTGTTTGAGAAAAGAGAGTCTAGATCCTAAGTTTGTGACATTTCACATACACAAAATGGACTCTCATGTGTATTCACAACCTAACATTCTTTCTGACATACTATACAGACTTCTGTGACTTTTACAGAAGACTAATTATAGGTCACAGACAATATGATGGAAGATGCAGTTAAGTGAAAACAAAGACAGCCCCTTCTTTTTTCCTACTTGGTATAAAAGTTAAGTCATCTGGTATGGGTTTGGAGGAAGGAAAAGGGTCAGACTGAGTTGAGTGGTGTGACTACAGATAGACCTCATGACTGGGCATCTGTAAACAGCAAGACTGGGAAGAGTGGATGTTGGCTCCAGATGAGAGAAATTGGTTGTCTGTGAGTTCTTATGTGGCTGCTTTTCATCTGGAAAAGGAGGTTCTCTATCTTAGTCCATATCCTGCTGCTATATCGGAATACCACATTTGTGACCCGCCTGGGCAACTTGGCGAGACCTCATCTCTACAATAAATCAAAAAATTAGCCGGTCGTGGTAGCACGCGCCTGTAATTCCAGCTACTCAGAAGGCTGAGGCGGAAGGATCGCCAGAGCCCAGCAGGCGAGGTTGCGGTAGCCAGGAGCAGCCACTGCACTCCAGTCTGGGTGACAGAGTGAGACTCCAACTCAAAAAAAAAAAAAAAAAAAGAATACCACAGACAGGTAATTTGTAAAGAACAGAAGTTTATTTGGCCCGTAGTTCTGGAGGCTAGGAAGTCCAAGGGCATGGTGCCAGTGTCTGGGGAGGGTCATCCCATGGTGGCATCACATGGCGAGGAAGCACATGCACATGCAAGACAGAGAAATGGGGCCAAACTTATTCTTTTATCTAGAGACCACTCCCAAGATATATAACCCATTCCCACAATAACAGCATTAAATCATTCATCCGGACAGAGACCTCATGGCCTAATCACCTCTTAAAAGTCCTACCTCTTAATACTGTTAGAAGAGAAATTAAGTTTCCAACACACGAACTTTTGGGGGACTCATTCAAATGAAAGCATCCACTAATTGAATAATTTGATGTCAAGGAGTGAGTGAGGGATGAGTTCTCTGCCGGCACATACTTGTGGGATCTCTTTGCTGCAGGGCCAGGACTTGGACCCTGAGAGTGGATAAATGTAGGAAGTCAATTTGCTCAAGAGGTCAGTTTAGTTTAACAGGTGAGATACTGTGGAGTCTCAGTCATAAGCGGTGGAATGTGCAATAAGATCTGGTGGGCCTCAGCAGAGAAATTATCTTCTTATTAGAGGGATCTTGATGTGCCTTGCTAGGAAGCATTTTTGGACTCTTTGGGTGGGGGGCATTATGTTTCAAATTTCAATTCAGTAGAAGGAACCAGTGATTTGTTCAAGGTATTAAACATTGAAGTTAAAATTAGATTACAGATCCACTGACTACACAGTTTAATGTTTTTACTCTGAAATATGTCAGTCCAGTTCACTAGGGCATATCATTTACTTAGCAGATATATACAGCAATACAGAACCCCTGCAAATTATTCTAGGCAGTATGGGTATCCTGGTGAACAAGTTAACAATACCTGTTCTTATGGCACTTGCATTTGAATAAGGGACGCTGACAAGATGCTGGAAAAAACTATGGCCATTTCTGAGAGTGCTGAGTGCTACAAAGAATTTGGGAATGGTTGGAGTGGGACTGGAGCCCTAGTTGGCATTTTCTGGAAGGCCTGAGGAGTTCACAGCTGAGCTGTGACCTGAATTATGAGACATCTGTCACCTAGATATCTGGAGGAAGAGCAGCCTACAGAGGAAACAGCAAGAACAGTGACCTGAGACTTGTTTCGAGAACAAGGAACCATTGTGGCTGAGGGGCAGAGTCGTGGAAGATGAGCCAAGTGAGGCAGGGAGGGCCAAACAGTGAGGGCCTTTCAGACCAGGACGAGGAGCTTGGCTTTAGTCTGAGTGCTTTGGCAAGTCCTGGGAGGGCTTTCAGCAAGGAAGTATCAAGACCGGCTCTGTTCATTCCACACTCTGCAATTTTAAGACTGAAAACTTGCTTAGCTTAATTTGGGGATATTGTGAACTTCTGAGAAGAAGCTGAAAATGGGGTTTCTGAAGGGTTCTACTTTTTCTCATTTTCGTTTTCTTAAAACCCGTTAGACTTATTTCTTTATGTGTTTTTTTCTGATTTGCAGGTGGGGGAAGAAACTGATCATCGTTGCCTCTCAGGCCATGCGGTACAGGGCTTTGATAGGCCAGGAGGGGGATCCGGACCTGAAGCTCCCCGACTTCTCCTACTGCATCCTGGAGCGATTAGGCCGGTCCAGGTGGCAAGGAGAGCTCCAGCGAGATCTTCACAGCACTGCTTTTAAGTAAGGGAAGGATTTGCTTCTCTATTTTAAGCTATGAGCTCACTGATTGTTGCACCCTGTGCCCCAAATGTAGTAGCCTGCTGCCTTGTCTTCCCCGGGACATGACTTTTCTTTCCAAGGCCATGTCTCACAGTGACTGTTCTCTCAGCCTGGTTGGTGTTTATCTCCACTTGAAAGACTCTGTACACTGTGGGGTTAAAGCCACCATCAAAGCAAATGACACAGTCTGTGCTCCTCTTTTCCAGGGTTGATGCTGGGAAACTGCACTATCACAGGAAAATACTGAACAAAAACAGACTCATTACAATGCAGTCCCATGTGATTCGATTACCCACTGGAGCCCAGCAACACTCAATCCTCCTCCTCCTGAACCGGTTTCATGTGGACAGGTATGGTTTGTAGAGATCAAAACATTAGGTTACTTTGATGTTGCAGCCATGTGTATCATGCTTTTAAAAATCATAGAAGCTAAAGCAGAATATGGCTATTGCTTTAAAAAAAAAGATATTTATTACTTGTTTCTGTTGAAGATAACTCCTCATTTAGAAACCTGGAAATTATACAGAAAAGAAGGGAAAAAATACCTATGACCCCACAGCCCAACAACAGGAATGAGCAATTGGGTGAAATTTGGGGGAGGTATAAAAATAAAAGCAAATAAGTCAAATTTGATTTGTTATGGTGGCAGAATTGTGGTTGAATTATGTCAGTGTCAAACTGAATACAACCGTAATAATTAACTTACACAGATGAGTGAGGTTCTGCTAAGTTATTAAAATGTGTGATGTTGCTGTTCTAGCTGGGTATCATAGTTCAGCCAGTACAGCAAACTGGTAAAATATGTGCATCTCTGGGAGTAGGTTATCTCTGACTCTTTCATTCTTGCTGTTTGGGTAACTAATTACCTGGCATAGGAATGAGGGAAAGAAATGTTTCACCACACTGCAGAGGTCTTAGGTTGTACTACAAAACCACCACACAACCCTCCCCTTTGGGGGCGGGGCTGAAGCCAGGTTGAGGAAAGGTCAAGCTGTTATAGGGCCTAAGAAAAGTGGCCGTAACCTGAGTGTGGTGGCTCCAGCCTGTAATTCCAGTACTTTGGGAGGCCAAAGTGAGAGGATTGCCTGAGCCCAGGGGTTCAAGACCAGCCTGGGCAACTTGGCAAGACCTCATCTCTACAATAAATAAAACAATTAGCCGGGCATGGTTGCATGTGCCTGTAGTTCCAGCTACTTGGAAGGCTGAGGCAGAAGGTTTGCCTGAGCCTAGGAGGTCGACACTGGAGTGGCCATGAGCATGCCACTGCACTCCAGGCTGGGCAACAGAGTGAGACTCTGACTCAAAAAAGAAAGAAAAGAAAAGAAAAGTAGCCCTTGGGTGATTAAACTCTGAGCCCCCCAGTGCTGAGGTACTGTGGCAAGGTGGGTAGGCAGACCCTTCCCTGCACCACAGTGAGTAATTCTGGGATTCTCCCTTGCCAGTTGATAGAGTCCTTGCCCTTTACCTCAGTGGCCAGGTGTATTTAACTACTAATTGTCTGCTGTTGACTAGAAGCCTTATTGATTAAGTTAGTTAACACTAGTTAACTAGTTGACTAGGACTAGTCAACTAGTCCTTCCACCTCAGCCTTCTGAAGTGCTGGGATTGCAGGCATGAGCCACTGTGCCCAGCAGATTTTTTTGTATTTTATGTTGGAAAATGATGAAATAGACTACCATCTATGTACATTTCACACATTCATGGCATACCTTAATTTTTTCAGTATTTCTAGATTATGCAGTTTATCGGTAAATTTTCTCTAATTGTCACAGATCTCCAAAAATTTTCCAGTGTATTTATTGAAAAAAATCTGTGCATAAGTGGACCCGCTCAATTCAGTCCCGTGTTCTTCAAAGGTCAACTATACTATGTTGGAGAGTATCATGTTTTATGAATTCACAACTTAATTAGTCATGCTATCCCTTAAGTAACTGTCTCACTGAACTCATAATTGGTGTGTAGCCTGTGATCTGCAAAGACCATAGGGTAGCAGCCATGGGGTAGGAGAAAGAACGGAACACAAGGTCTGTAGTTCAGTCTTTGCCCCTTACTTGGGCAAAGTCACTCGACCTCTTTGAAGCACCAAGTCCTCTTATGCAAAATGGCTGTGCCACAGTGCTTCATATGCATAGTGGTTCTCATGCAGTCAGTGTCTTTCCCTTCATATATTCTTTCATTCATTGAGAGGCAGTACAGATGGAGAAGTGGGTGCAGTCTCTGCATCCCATATGTGTGCTCTCCCCTCCCCTAGGACTGTGGGTCAAGCCAAGCTGTTCTTGTCCAGCTAAACTGGCAACAAGGCTCCTCCATGCACCCCTCTCCCAGACTCCTGAGACAAAGTCGAGAGCTCTCAGCACTTTTATTTTTACTTTTTGAGTCGGGTCTCACTTTGTTACCCAGGCTGGAGTGCAGTGGCATGTTCAGAGCTCAAGGCACAATCATGGCGGCTCACCAAGCCTCGACCTCCTGGGCTCAGGCTGTCCTCCTGCCTCAGCCTCCCAAAGTGCTGGGGCTACAGGTGTGAGCCACCATGCCCCACCCTCTCAGCACTTTTTAATAGCTTCCTGTAGTGGCCGTTAGCTTTGTAGTGTTTATCATGACATCTGGTTCACAGTAGAAATGAGATGGAAGGTAGGATCTTTCATGCTGGTGAAGCTCAGAAACCAGGGCTTCGGCATCAGAGGCATTATGATGTGGTAAGGAGAGTACCGGATTTAGAGGAAGAAGACCAAGGTTCACATGTCAGGCCTGAAATTGGGGAAAGCCTCTTAACGTCTTTAAGAAATTATTCCCATCCTTCTTCACCAAGTGATGTACGAGGAAATATATGACAGTCCCAGGAGTTGGACCTGGATGATCTTTGAGACCTAAGACTAAGGTTCTTTAGTTGGCTGTGTTGCCATAGCAGTCTTGCCTTCTCATCTTTAAAAACCAGGCAATCAATATTGTCTTTAGCAATAGATTTGAAAAAGTGAGCGACTTGATGTTTCTTGCAGGAGGAGCAAATATGACATCCTCATGGAGAAGCTTTCTGTGATGCTGAGCACACGGAGCAACCAGATGGAGACGCTGGGAAAGCTGAGGGAAGAGCTGGTGAGCTGCCGGGTGTTCGGGTGCAGGACTGGAGTCCATCTGCCCATGGCCGGGAGGTCTCCGTCAGGTGTTGATGCATGAACTGCAGTCCGAAGCCCTGTGGTGGACTTGCCACAAGGCTTTTTCCCTTGTTTGACAGAGTGAGAAAGTGCCCAGTCCTTTGCTGAAATGCTTGCTCTTGACTGCCTTCCTTTATCCCCTGGGCTTAGCTCTGGGACCTGCTATCAAAGTCCATATGGAATAGTAGTGATTTGGCATTTAGAATTACTTCCATAATCACGCTTGTAGTTTTGTTCCTGTGGCTTTACACTCAAATAATGGAATGACTGTCCTAGAAGGAGGAGAGAGGGCATGCGGAGCAGCAGCTGTCCTTGGGCCCAGGAGCAGAGGCAGCAATGCAGCGAGCACAGGGGGAGGAAGGGCAGGGTGACACTGCTTCCAGTCTCTTACGCAGTTATCAGGGGAAGCTGGAGACACTGGGAATGGGAGGCGTGCAAGGCCCTGCGGGTTCAATGGTAAAACTGAAAATTTAAAGTCATGTCTTTGGGTACTATAAACGAGACCCCCAAGGGACATGGTCTGCAGTCTGATGATAAACACCAAGACAGCCCTTGCTTCTCACTTGTACTTCATCAGTGGAGGTGCTTGATTCATTGCATGCCCTAGTCTCTTTAAAGCACAGAATACAAGCTGGACGTGGTCGCTTAGGCCTGTAATCCTGGCACTTTGGGAGGTGGAGGTGAGAAGATTGCTGGAGACCACCCTGGGCAATTAGGCAAGACTTTGTCTCTACAATAAATCAAAAAATGAGCCAGCCATGGTGGCACACACCTGTGGTTCCAGCTACTTGGGAGACTGAGGCAGAAGGATCATCTGAACCCAGCAGTTCGAGGCTGCAGTGGCCGTGAGCATGCCACTGCACTCCAGCCTGGGTTACACAGTGAGACTCTGACTCAAAACAAACAAACAAACAAACAAACAAAAAACAGAGTACAAGCCAGAGGCTGGTGGGTGAGACTCACCTGTTAAAAATAACTGAAGCTGGGCTCGGTGGCTCAGCTTGTAATCCCACGCTTTGGGAGGCTGAGGTGAGTGGATTGCCTGAGCCCGCGGGTTCAAGACCAGCCTGGGCAACTTGGTGAGACCTCATCTCTACAATAAATCAAAAAATTAGCCGGGCGTGGTAGCGCACACCTGTAGTTCCAGCTACTTGGAAGGCTGAGGCAGAAGGATTGCCGGAGCCCAGCAGGTCGAGGCTGTGGTGGCTGGGAGCATGCCATTGCACTCTAGTCTGGTGACAGAGTAAGACTCCAACTCAAAAAATGAAAAAATAAATTGAACCTAGCATTTTTTTTTAAATAGAGATTTCACATAAATTCTAGGTTTCTAGCTTCCCCCAAAATCAGAAGCCTGGACCTTCAGTCTCATGACAGCAGTTAGCTAGAGCCAGATGTGCACTGCCCCATCCCCCTGGCTCCCTACTTCTGTCACCTCTCAGACTCTCGGACACTGAGGCAGAGTAGCATTGTCATTTGTCATCACATATGCATTGCTGTTTCCTGGTAAGGAAGAAGTTTTGTTGCTTTGAGTCTGAGTCCATCAGAATGAAAAATAGAAGGTAGACTGAGAAGGCCTCTCAGAAAGACTGTAGCAGAAAAGAAGGACTTTCTAAAGAAGTGTCAGACTGGGCGCAGTGGCTCACACCTGTAATCCCAGCACTTGGGGAGGTGGAGGTGAGGAGATTGCCTGAGCCCACGGGTTCGAGACTAACCTTGGCAACATAGTGAGACCTCATCTCTATAATAAATAAAAAATTAGCCAGGCATGGTGGCATGCCCCTATAGTTCCAGCTACTTGGAAAACTGACGTAGAAAGATCACCAGAGCCCAGCAGATCAAGGTTGTAGTGGCCGTGAGCTAGCCACTGCACTTTAGCCTGGGAGAAACAGTGAGAACCCAACTCAAAAAAGAAATATCAGACTTCTGACTACTTTGTTCCTTTTTTTTGGTGGGGGGGGGGGTTGGTTTCTCACTCTTGTCCAAATTGGAGTGCATTGGTGCAATTCTAGTTCATAGCAGCCTTGACAGGCTATCCTTCTGCCTCAACCTCCTTAGCAACTATAGGCACGAACCATCATGCCTGGCTAATTTTTTGATTTTTCTTTTTTGTAGAGACATGGTCTCGCTATGTTGTCCAGGCTGGTCTCGAACTCCTGGGCTTTAGCAATTCTCTTGTCTCAGCTTCCAAAAGTGCTGGGATTACATATATAAACCACCTCACCTGGCCTTGTTTAGTTGTATTACTTGTCCAGCTCATGCAGACTTGGAAGTTTGAAACTAGGGGTCGGGGGCAGAGGTAGTCTGGTCTCAGGTTAGCACTGTGCAAATGGCAAGATTTGATGTTACTGGGCATCCTTTCATTTATCCACTCAACAAATGAATAAATAATTCAGAGTGTCTACTTTGAATTAGAACTGTGTTCCACACTAAGATAACGAAAGTTAATGAGGATGACAGGTCTTGCACTGTCATGGAGCTGGCTATCAGGAGAGGCAGATGTGTGAACACATATGTAGGAGGATGTGACTGAGCCAGTAGAAGGAGTAGTATCTTTTTTTTTTTTTTGTAGAGACAGGGTCTCTGACCCTTCCACCTTGGCTTCCCAAAATGCTGGGATTACAGGCCACCTTTAGAGAGCTGGGGAGAGCCTCACAGAGCAAGTCACAGTTGAGCTGGACTTTTCCCCTAGTAGACAGAATGGACATGGCATTTCAGGCAAAGAACACCTGGTGCAGAGGCTTGAGTTGTATTCCGAGGACAACAGTAATCCAGAGGGCAGCTGGTGGTGGCGTGCTTGGGACCAGATTAGAAGGGGCTGGAGTGCTGACTGAGGTGTTGGGACTTTAGCCTTTACCCTTTAGCCTTATGAACTGCTGGTAGCCGTGTCAGAATGAAATTATAGAAGAGCAGAGTGTCTAGGAAGGTGAGCTGGTGGAAGGAAAGAGATAGGAAGTGAGTGGCAAGGTGGTGACCATGAGGGCTGGAGTTGTTTGAGAAGCATTTTGGAGGTGAAATAGCAAACCTTGGCGAGCAACTGCACCAGGATGAAGAAGTCTCTGAATAAGGAAGATCTCAGGGCGAGCCTGGGTTTTTGGCTGGAGTGGCTGCCCTGACTGAGGTAGGCCAGAGCATGAAGGCAGGCTTGCCAGGGCAGGGCTTGTGTCTGTTTGCTCCCTGCCAACTCACCACCATGAGGATAGTGCCTGGCCCGCGGTAGAAGCTCAGTAAATATTTGCTGAATGAGTGTTGACTAAAGTAGAGAGTACAGACAGAGGAGCAATTTTGGGTGAGGAGTAGGCACACAATAAGTTTGAACTAAGGATGTATTGAGGTTGAGGATCTTCTGGGACATTCCCCTGGTCATATCTCATCGGCAGCTGCAAATAGGGGTTGGAGAGAGCTGAACAGGACTTCGTGAATAATGAGCCTATAGATGAAGCTGTTGCCATGAATATGGATGCAGTCCTTTGGGGGGATTTGGAAGGGGAGACTCACGGCTTCTATTTCTTTTTGCCAGCCAGATTGTGCAAGTTGTGGATGGCAGCCCCCCCAGAAGGCAAGACAACATCATCCTCCCTCACTTAAGATGGTCCGGGGCTTAGAACCATATGTTGAGGGCGGAGATCTGATGGATGAGTTTCCACAGGGTCGTTCCTTGATGCTGGGGGCATGGCTAGATTAACGGTGGATGCCATTTACAAGCCAGTGGGTTTGAATGAGCCATATGTGAGTCATCTGTATTGTTTTGATAGCCATATGCTCTGCCACCCAAGGACCGGTGTGCTGGCTAGCCTGAGAGTTAACCACACATATGTGGTGGCCGCAACCCACGGACATTTGCTCCCTGCCTTGTCCCCAGAGTGTAAGAGGAAACCTGTAAGACTCAAGGAAAAGCTCTTAGTTGCAAGTCTCTCCTGGTGTACAGTCTGTAACATAGAACTGTGGTGACCTGCCTCCCTCTTCCAGGGGCTACAGAGTCACGTGGTGGCAGTGCCCAGGAGGGTGATGTCAGTGAGCAAAACAGGCTGCATGTCAAAAAGCTTGTGGTAGCAAGATAGATTTAAGAAACTGACTTTCTTTTTACCTGCCTCTAGAGAAAAGCTGCCCCAGGATGGTGGTAAATGGCAACTGGCCTTCTGTGCCGTTATCCAAGAGCTGGCAGGGAACATGAAGTTGGGGCCCCTGGAGCCTGGTGGCAGTGCTGAAAGGAACCAGCTGGCCTTGTGGCCCTCTGTTTCCGCCCACTGTTGCCATGAGCTGCTGTGGTGCTGGCACTAGGTGCCAGATCTCAGCTTCAAGAGAAGCCAGGATCTGGGTCTTTTTTTAATGTGAAATCTCTCACTTGTCAGTGTTGGCAAGTAAATTACTTTTTAAAAAAAATCATTATATAGATGAAAAGGCCTGGCCTGCACTGGAGGCTGCCCGTGGGTAACCCCTGCAGGGAGGCTATACTTCATATCATTTTGGTTGTATCAGTCTTGCAGAAATAGGAGTGATAGGATGAAAGTACTTATCATTCTGTTGTAACTTCACAGATAGATCACATTTTAAAAAATTTTTTTAAACTATTTTTCGAGTCAGCGTGTCACTCTGTCACCTAGACTGGTCTGCAGTGGCACACTCACGGTTCACCACAGCCTCAGCCTTCCAAGTAGCTGGGGCTACAAGCACGTCCCACCATACCTGGCTAACTTTTTTTATTTTCTGTAGAGAAGAGGTCTCGCTATCAACCCAGGCTGATCTCAAACTCCAGGGCTCAAATGATTCTCCTGCCTTAGCCTCCCAAAGTGCTGGAATTACAGGCATGAGCCACCATACCTGGCCTTATAAAACTTTTGTAATCTATTTTTCTCATTTTATGTGGGAGAGATTGTGTGTGTGTGTGTTTGTGTGTGAATAATTAATATACTTGGTTAAAAAAATCAAAACAACATGGCAAGTTATCAAGTGAAAAGACTCCTCTCTCTGCTCCCACCTGCCTCGTCCCCACTCCATGTTTCCTTTCGGTATCTCTTCAGGTGAGTGTCTTTCTCCTCTCATAGTCAAGGGAATCATTACTATCCTGCCCCGGACCTTCTTTTATTCCTCTAACAATGTAGCTTGGCAACTTTTGAGTTGGAGTCTCACTCTGTCGCCCAGCTGGAGTGCAGTGGCATGCTCCCGGCCACCGCAGCCTCAACCTGCTGGGCTCCGGAGATCCTGCTGCCTCAGCCTTCCAAATAGCTGGCACTACAGGCATGCGCTACGACGCCCGGCTAATTTTTGTTTTATTGTAGAGATGAGGTCTCGCCAAGTTGCCCCAGCGGGTCTCGAAACCGCAGACTCAGGCAATCCACTTGCCTCGGCCTCCCAAAGTGCTGGGATTACAGGCTGAGCCACCAAACCCGGCCCAGTCTTCCCTTTTTAGTACCTCCAGTGTTTCTCTGTGCAGTATAATCAATTAATTTGGGTCCTCCATTTGGTTCATTTACATGACTGTTTAGTCATTTCACACATCTTGGTTGTACCTAATAGTGACTTTTAAATTGTGTTTTGGCAGGGGCTATGTGAAAGGACATTTAAGCGTCTGTACCAGTACATGCTGAATGCTGGACTTGCCAAGGTGGTGTCCCTTCCCTTGCAAGAGATTCACCCTGAATGTGGACCTTGTAAGACAAAGAAAGGTATGGCAGAGTCTTGTCTTCTGTTGCCCAGGCTGGATGGATGGCTCTCACCTTTCTTTCTAAGCACCAGCCTCTCCCTCTGAGCATGTGCTGCCTTGCAGCATGATCAGTTCACTTGTTTATTCAATTCTTTATGCCTCAGTGCCTGGCTTAGGACCTTCCATATAAAAAGTGTCCAGAAAATGTTTGCTGAACAAAAGCAGTTACAAGTTACAGCAAACATCTCTGTGGTATCTGCCAGTACCACAGATGTATGGTGCTCAGAAAGCAAGTTCATCTTATCCTACTTACACTAAGCCACATTTCATTCTTCAGCCAACCTTTGCTGAATACCTGCTCTGTGTTGCATGATTTCATCATCTAGCCCTGTAAGGATGGTGGCATTATTTTATATGTAAGAAAATTAACGTTAAGAGATGCTGAGTAACTTACGGAAGGTTAAGCAATCAGTATGTGGCAGAGGTAGAGTTTCAGCCTTCTGAGAAAGTTAATCTAAGGACAGCAGCCTATAAAACTTTGAACACCTTATTTGGTACTTTGCTTTTCCCTATTCTTAATGTTTGTCCCAAGCTGTTTACCTGTCCTGATTAACTAAAATCATTTTAAAAGCTGAGGTTCAGCTCTTTCAGCAAAGGATGCTAATGGTCAGGATATATGCATTTATCTGTACTTTACCCAAACTGCACCACAGTGATGATAGGGATATAAACGGCATAAATCTTCACCTACAAAGAGAAGAGTAAAGGAAATAACAGCAGAGAGCACTAGCAATGACATTTAGGTGCTCAAAAGCAGATGGACAAATGATGACTGGTTGTGCAGACCGGGAAAGCCAAGTGCCTGTGAAGGGTGCTAGCCGAGGATTGACACCTCGGAGCTCGAAATAAGATATGAAATTGGAGATTCCAGGTACCTTTGAAAGCACAGTGTGGATAGGGCTAGAGATATAAGGGTTAGTTGATAGACTGTGAGAAGTTGCGCTCCCTTAAGAAGCCTTTCCCATAAAGACAGGAGTCTGGAATTATCTCAAGAGAGCATGCCAGAGGATTTCTAAACTCAGAGACATGGGGACCATGCTGGGGACTGGGCACTGTGCCCAAAATGGGATATGTGACAGTCTCCATAGGTGAGAGTTTCCCCAGCTGCTGTCCCAGATTGGCTGTCTCTTGGTGTATTCTGTCATTTGGTGTACATCCGCCAGGAGCTTCCTAAAAGGGAATGTGGGCTCTTAGAACCATTTGGCTCCTCAAACACTGACAGCCAGACTTCAGTGACTGTCCCCATGACCAGTGGTTGAGGACTTCTATTCTGAAGAAACTGGCTGGATCTCCAGATACTGGAATTTAGGGGTTTCCCAACAAAGTAACAGCCCCTGCCAGCTCTCTCTTCACTGAGACCCACCTGATAGCAAGCTCTCTCTTTCTCCTCTCACCCTCAGAACATGGCATTGGGCAGCATTTTAAGGCTTTACCAAATATTTGCAGAAAACTAATATTAACGTGAGGTAAACAAACACAAGAAACAGAAATAAAGCAGGGAGCAGAAGACAAATTAAAAATAATAAAAGGAATCCACAGAGAAAAGTAGACACTGTATCCATGAAACCAGAGCAAGAGACTGTAAAGACGAAACAGGCAGAAAATAAAACAGGGCTCTTGGAAATAAAGAAATAAAACTATTGCAATTAAAGATTTAATGGAAGGGGCAAATGGTAAGCTAAAGTTAAGAAAGTTTCCCAGAAGGAATAAAAACTCAAAAGAGATGGAAAATGGGAGAGCGAAGTTGGAAATAAGAGTGAGTGAAAATATTTAACATCCACATCTGAGGGGTGAGAGAGAGAGAGAGAAAGAACAAGCTCGCACATGAGTGGATGCAGAGGATTAGAGAGGGCAGTGGGGAGAAATGATGCCAGGGATTTTCTGGGATGGAGAGGTCATGTGTTTCCAAATCACAAGATCGGTCAGGTGCCTGCTATAGTATTTAACTTAGAAGTCTGGCCTGTGGATCTGTTGGTCATTTTTATTTCTTGACCTGTTGGAAGAAAGATGTTAAAAATAGATAAGACTGTCCAGGCTTGGTGGCTCACACCTGTGATCCCAGCACTTTGGGAGTCTGAGGCAGGAAGATTATCTGAGACCAGGAGTTCAAGACCAGCCTGGCAACATAGTGAGACCCTGTCTCTACAAAAAGTAAAAATAAAATAAAAAAATAAGCTGAACATGTGGCACATGCCTGTAGTCCCAGCTACTTGGAAGGATCCATTGAGTCCAGGAGCTAAGGCTGCATTGAGCTATGAATAACGTGCCACTGCACTCCAGTCTGGGCGACAGAGTGGAGCCCTGCTCCGCCTCCCCCCGTTCCCTGAAAAATAGATAGATAGAATTTACCTTTAAAGTAAAGAAAACTAACCCGAGCTTGGTGGCTCAGCCTGTAATCCCACGCCTTGGGAGGCTGAGGTGAGTGGATTGCCTGAGCCCGCGGGTTCGAGACCCACCTGG